AAATTGCACTGTATAATATGTTTTGAATTAATATGTCTTGGGTTTTTTTGAAATATATATATATATATATATACATGTATTAATTCAACCTTAATCTGAGTTTCTGGACAAGAAAGAGGGTAAGCGGTTGAAATTTCATTCTAAAACCCATTTTTGTCTTTTTTTTTGTAAGGGTGTCCGGGCCAAAGCTCGACTAATCCCCGGCAAATTTGGAGGCTAAACAAGGCCCCACTTAAATGTCGCCAACACTCCCCTTCAAGGGCTCGAACTCGGGTTCATGACTATGCCATGCCCAAGCTTTTACCACTAGGCTGGAAGGTCTTTGATATGTCAAATTTGTAGTTTTCTTGATTGGTTTTGAGTGTTTATCTTAAAACTCAAGTTTCTTGGTTCTTTGCTCTTGGTGTAAATCGAATATATTTGTAGATTCGTTTAAATATGTTGGATTTTTAAACTGCCATACAATTTTTTTCATCGATAGTCTGTAATTGGAATCATAACTCTTATTTATTCTAATTGTATTAATATGTAAAGACCAAGTGTAACCTATATCATCGTTAAATCTTATCTTATAAAACTAGTAGAACTTCAAAATCGTTAAAATTCATGGCTCCCACCGTATTGCGCGGGTACACAACTAGTTTGGATTAAAATGATTAGATCAGATTCTCAAACCTTTTAGTATTTGATAATAGTCCTATATATAGTATATAGTATATAGTATATAGTATATAGTATATAGTATATTGTATATAGTATATAGTATATAGTATATAGTATATAGTATATAGTATATAGATTGTTTCATCAAACACATTAGTTTGAGAAGATGTAAATAATTAAAGTCTATAAATGATAAAAAACCCTGATTCTACAATAAAATTACAACATAAGACCAATACAGGAATCTATAGTTTTCATACATATCATCTTTTAATTCTATGATGCATATAATTGTTGGGACTCCATGGGAGATGACCAGTACCTCAAAAGTGATTCCACAGTCAACCTCCGAGTTGCGCTGAGCATCGAGATGAAAAACCGACAACCATCTATTTTGTATTCTTCCAGCGGATCCCTGTGCCCAAAGCTCCTTACATTCACCTGCACCCAAATATGAACTTTGATATTTAACAAATTTATCATGATAAAGTATTCACATGTGAATCTTAATTAAAAACTTTTTATTTGTTACAAAAAGAAAAAAAAACCTTCAGCTCAATAGTAAAGTTGCAATAAATGACCAATTAAAGTGTTCAGATTCCATTTTAGCAAATACAATAGGTAATTATATAGTATGCTGGTTAAGAATCTCATGTAACTTGAAATTTTTTTTACATTGCAAACCTTGAAATGAACCGATTATGATAATAGCATACCGCTGAATTTAGTCTGTTCATGTTTACAAGATGATCCCTCCAAAAACAATCTAGGGACTTCACAAGAACCGCTCTCTGGATTCAAGACAAGAAAAAAAAATATCATGTAAAAAAATATGAAATAAAATCATAATATTAACATTAAGAAAAAAAGTACCTCAATTTCATTTACATATTCTTCAGCATAACCAGATTCTTGAATGGTGTTTGTATATGAAGCGATTAACTAATCACCAAGGTACTTGCGCAGAAGATTAGCTGTAACTCGATATCTTCCATCTCTGCAGTTGATAAGAAAAACATCTTGTATTCGAATTAAGAAACAGAAAAGTGAAAGAGAGTCAATAATTAATGTTTTAGTGTACGCACTTGAGCGAATCATCCGAGCATATGGATAGCCAACGCTTCAATGAAGAAGTCCTTTTACGTATACCTTTAAAAGCATTCAGAGGTTGAGGTAAATTTGGAAGACACAATTCATTATCACTTGATTCATTAACATTAGCAAGTGATTGCATCAAAGATTCCACCGTAATTCCTGTACATGACTCTGGATAAACCCCATATATGATTTAGTCCATATTAAGATTTTGTCTAAGTTCCAGGTTAAGATAAGACTGAAACTACACCTCACCATCCAATATCTTCCCAGAAATTGCAACGAAATTCTTTAAGAGTTCGTCTAAGTTCCAGCTGCTTGGATGCTATGAAAAATATATAGATCATAGAGATCAGATCGATGCAACTGATAAGAATTTTAATCGAGGCACTAGGGTAAGGAGATTCAATACCTTCAACGGATCAACATTTCCCAAAACAAGTTCATCTACGACTGCTTGCATGTACCTGATTCCATGCACACAACATTCAGATAACAAGGGCAAAACTAACATAACAACACAGACAGACAATTAAGTTGCGATTTTAATGGTCTATAAAATGATAATATATACAATGGCACATTTTGATGTATTATGGACAAAAGAAATAGAAACAGACTATATGTTCCTATTATAATTAGCCTATGAGTCATGGTGTTAACTTGGTTCCTGATATTGGAGGCTTGAAAAGTAATGGGTACATCAAAATTACAATGGTCTTTAATTTAATGATACTGAGCACATTCATAAGAAGGATAAAATGGAACCACAAACAAATATACAGACTAGTAAAGTTGTATTACAAGGTAGAAGATGTCTGGCAACTCTAGAAACAAGCTTTTATCATGAAATAGTTGGAGAAGGCAAAATGAATCTGGGAAGAACTTGAATCATACAACTGAACAATCAGACTTGGACTATATTTCCCCTTCCATCTTTCTTCCCTTTTTGGGCTCTAGGAGTAGATAAAGTTGTTTCAAAATGTTTTTCACTATTATAAAAAATGGAATGAGTTACAAATTTGGTCCCCGTGGTTTAACACCCTGGGTCCCTATTCTGAAATATCTATGGATTACATCCCTGTGATTGCATTTTATAACATATTGGGTCCCTAATTTTAACTCCATTAAATTTTTTCTGTTAAATAGGTTAAGTACAGGGGTATTTTCGTCATTCTATTTCTTTTTTTATTTTCTACTAAAAACAACAGGGACCAAACATGTAATTTACTCTATAGATCATATTATAATAATATATATCTATACTATATTATAAAGCATTTGACAAAAACTCTTAAAAATCATTTTTCATGCACAAAGTACTGTTTATTGATGCATATTACTTAGAATTCAAGATTACAAGTAAATTATACGTATGCACAACTTATTAAAGCTTTATGTTTGAATTCCTGTAACTAACTGCAGATAAACATAATCAAATAAAGGATAAACATTTCATTTTAAATATAAAAATTTTTAAATATAACAAAGATAATTATTGAGCTCTAACAAAATACTTAATTATTATCTTTATAAAATATATTTAACAATCAAAAATAAATTACTTCATTATTAACCTTAAATTAAACTATAATTAAAAGAAATTACACAAAAGAACGAGAACTTTTAAATAGTTAAATTTCAATATATTTTTTTCAAATTTTTATAATATCTTAAAATGTATATTTTATTCAAAAATAAAAACATTATCATTTTCTCAAACCCACATAAAACCGTATTATAGCATCGATGGAGACAGATAATAAAACAAAACATTAAAATCAAGATGTATATCGTTGTATTACGCAAGTACCCTTCTAGTATATATATAATATATGTATATGTCTAAAAAAAATAAGGGTGTCGGGCCAAAGCCCGACTAATCCCTAGCAAATTTGGAGGCTAAACATGGCCTCACTTAAATGTCGCCAACACTCCCCTCCCAGGGCTCGAACTCGGGTTCATGACTATGCCATGCCCAAGCCTTTACCACTAGGCTGGAAGGTCTTTGACATATGTATATGTCTATCTGGCGAAGGCAGCGACATAGGAACCATTCCCCCTTATCATCTCCGGCAAATATAGGGACACCGCCCAACCTCTCATCTCCGGCGAACACAGGGACCATTCCCTTCTCTGCCGAACACAGATCGAACGACAAAGACCGATTCCCCCACTTGTCCTTGGTCTTCTTCTTCSCCCACTTCTTTTTCTCCCTCCTCTYAGTGAGCCCTCTTCCCCTTCCCACCTCCATCGCTGCAACTACACCACCACAACTGCAAGCCTAAGAAAGGCAAACCCCTCCCACTCTCCGTTTTTCCGGCGAAAGAGACTGTCCATTTTCTCCGGCGAAACCCTCCACTTTCTCCTGTTTTCCGATGAAAACCCTCCCTTTTCTCATTTTTCGGTGAAAATCCTCCCATTTCTCTCGTTTTACTCCATTCTTTCTCNCCTCCACTTTCTCCTGTTTTCCGATGAAAACCCTCCCTTTTCTCATTTTTCGGTGAAAATCCTCCCATTTCTCTCGTTTTACTCCATTCTTTCTCTTGTTTGTGGACTTCGAAGCGCAGAGATTGAGAAACATGGATTCAACGGCCCGATAGTGATAGAGATGGTGGCCATGGTTAGTTTTTTGAAGATCTGCTCCTCAATCTGGTTTCTTCTAGTTCTGCTCTTCTATCGCCGACGATCTGATTTAGATTTTTCAATTTAGGGTTTGTATTAGACATTTAGCTATGTTTAGTACATGGGTACGGACAAGACAGGACGGCACAAACCTCAATGTCCCATGTTTGGTGCAGCACGGGACAGAACAAGAACTCATTGTCCCACGTTTGGTGTGACATGGGACAGGGACAAGAACTGAGATAAGGTGGGACAGCATGACATAGAAGAGGCTTTATCTTGTTCCAACTATAACTAAAATATTACTAATTTGCCCTAGTTTGATATATAACCTTAATATGGTATTTGTTCTAATGGTCATCACCGCTAGTTTCGTCTGCTGCCCACCTCCTCTTCAGTACAACATCCTCCACCTCCTCCACAACCACTGTCCACCATCGTTCATCGCCACCTCTACCATAGTCGACCACTACCGCCTTTCGCCACCTCCAACTCCTCTACTACAACAACCTCCTTCACCATCTCCACAACCACCGACTACCATCCTCGATTGCCACCTTTATAACCACCATCGGCCATCGACCACCACCAACATTACCACCGTTGGCCACCTCCAACTCCTCCTATACCGCAACAACCTCCTCCACAACAACTATCAATTGCCACCTCTACAACCATCAGCCACCGACCACCACCATCCATTGCCACCTCCAACTCCTCTACTGCAACAACCTCCTCCACAACCACCGTCGACCATCGACCACCACCGTCCATTGCCACCCACCACTATTTTCACTAAATCAACCACAACTACCTCCTCCATTGTTGTCAACCGCCACCACCACCAAAATCCACCATCTTCACGTCCTCTATAACCACTGTCGTCCACCAACCACCCCACTACCTCTACCTCCATAACTACCGTCGGCCATCGACCACCACCACCATCGCCACTACTACCGTGGGGCCACCACCACCTCCACACCACTATTACTACTATCAATTTTTCATTCAAATTTGGTACCATAATGAAAATTGTGTAAAAAAATTTACAAATTAAATTCGTTAATAATTTACTTTATTTGTTAATTATAACTATTATATAATATTTAAAATCATCAAATAACTTTTGGCGGTAACTTGTCTATTTATGTCCCGTCCAGTCGTAGTCGTATCAAACACCAGACATACACTTGTTCTATCCAATCCAGTCCAGTCCGTCCTTCTTGTCCTCTCCAGTCCAGTCCAATCATGTATGCGTACCAAACGCTTCCTTAGGGTTTTGTTTTTCTTTTCTTGATTGGAGATCTGTTTCAAGTGGCAATCAATTGGAGATATGTTTGTTCTTCTCCTCAATCTGTTTGTAGTAGGTATTTTTGGTGTTGTGTTGATGATGTTAACGATTAATTTTTAGGATTGATCACTTAATTTTGGAATTAATTTAGGTTTTTGATTGTTGTTTGGGTTGAAGAATGAGGAGGCAGGAGAAAAAAGAAAGTTGCTTGCCGGAATGGTTGCCGGAAAATCTCTTAATCAACGAGAGGGAAGAGCGACACATGGCAATATGATATTGGTGTTTGTTTTGGCTGTTTTTATTTTTTAATTTAAAATGAGAAAAATGCATAAAATGACCAAACTATCTATCGTTTGCCGCGCACATGACCACTTTAACAGACAGATTTCAAACGGAGTTAGATTTAGGGACCCAATGCGTTATAAAAATGCAAACCACAGGGTTGTAATCCATAGATATTTCAAAATAGGGACCCAGAGTGTTAAAATACATAAAAAACAGGACCGAATTTGCAATTCACTCTAGAAAATGTAATACAAACAAGTATACGAGCAGTCAATGCAATAGTAATTGGTGGTTGTCTAAAGGTCTATTCTTTGTGTCTAAAGTAACAGATCTTATCAGATTGATCAATGTTTACTAACAAATTTAGTAATTAAGATCTTCTTTTCCTATAATCTGTTTCAATCCCAAAACATGATGGCAGCAAACGAGTACATGAAAATGGCATGGATTTAAGAAAAGTATGCCTAGCTTTTATTTTCGTGTTCTCAGATAAACTACTGGTGCACAAAATTCCTCTAATGTCAACCTACAAATAAGAATACATGGTTAAATGCAGCCACAGCAGTAAGCTCGAACCTCAACATGCAGTTTTACTTATACAATTCGAGTTTAAAAGATTCTATACCATTTTCATCCTTGTATATATTTGGGTATCCAATCAGGGGCCAGATCACTGTATGTTGAATAATAATCTCTGTAGTGTTCCATAATTGCACTTAGCCACGCTACTCACATGCCCTTTTAGTGTTACAGGCTATTAAAAAAACTATATTGTTAGGTAGTATGTACATAGATCAGAGCTTACAAACTAATCGTGCGTAGTCTTCATAGACCAGTTCAAGCATGATAAATAAGAGTTTCCAAAAAAAAGCTGGCTAGACTTACCAAAAGAGACCAAAGGAATCTGAAGTATTAAATATTTAGCATAAAAAGCGAAAAATGGAAGAGAGTTTTATCCTAAAAATAGTTGGGTTCACCAAGATATGAAACCACCACATTTCAGGCAATGATCTGATCCAGAAATAGTGGAAGACCAACAGCCACTTTCCACTCTCTTCTATCAAAAAAATAAGTCTTTCGCTGTATCATAATTATTCAGATATCCTTGTCTTTTTCCCCATTGTTAATATTTACATACCCACATGTCTCCTATCGACGTCCTCTTTACTTAATTCTCATTTTTACACCAATCTGAAGGTTTAAATTGACGACATCCAAACCATTTTAAATCTATCCGAACCTACTGATAGTAATTCTCATTGGAAGGACTTTTCTGTCCAAATAATTAAGTACAGAACATACTGATAGTAATATTATAAGAGTGATCTTAGTAAAAAAGACACTCACTGGAGAATGTGATGTGAACAACTCTCAGAATCRCYAGTTAAAATTATCTGACGAAGATCATAAACATGCTTCCTTTGCACCTGGAACCAAGTATGCAATCAGTTACACAACCATAAAAGGCTAAGATGTCAGATTGATCTGAAAAAATAATGCAATAATACAATCAAATAATGAAAAAAGAACAATAAACATTGATGAAAAGAGAATCTGAGAACACTTCATATAAGGATAATACTTCCTTCATATAGAAACTGATTTTCAGGTCAAGTCTCCAACAGCAACTCTAAGCACAATTTGACATACAAACTTGAACTAGGAAAAAGAAAACAATCATAACCAAGAAACATAGATCAAAGGATGAACAAATTAAAGAAAATGTATATGGTGATTTTTACTATAAAATATGTACCTCTAGCACTTCATCAAACTCTACAAGGCTCTTTCTTATGTTGAAGAAATACTTTTCTGTGGAAACTTGAAGAGACAGAAGCTGAAATTTTTGTAATAACTTGAATTAGCAGTTGGAAGATAATATAATGCATGTTAAACTGAATGAATATTAAAAGATATAAGAGGAAAGAAATGTCTTAGGAGAAGCATGGAACTTTTAACACTTAACCAAAGTACCCTTATACTCTGAATATTCTCTTCATATAAATATCAAGCTACAAGGCCTTGCAGTCCAATTTCTACAGAACTCTGTAAGAGTACATTTTCCAACTTCTTTTTCTAGAGAACTCTGTAAGAATATGTATCATCATTCAAAAAGAGATACCCTGAATATATAGATGGGCTTGTGTGTCTCAAGACACAAACATAACAAAACCTTAATAAAGCATTGATTTATCTAAGAAAGTTCTTCGAGGTGGATCACATGCCAGTTGCAACATATCAGGTTCAAAACCAATCTTGCACAAGGGCTTCTTCAAGATGTCAGCAAGGTGGTCGATTTGATTTTGATGTGRCCCAAATGGAAGGAGGCTTTGTAAGGTTGCACRTTCAAATAACTAGGGTGGTAGTGCATATTGTATTTACTGAAGAAAAATCCGAAAAAATAGACATACAGTTAGGATGAGGGCTGTGAAGCAAGGCCAAAATGAAATAAATAAAATAAATCCTAAAGCTAACCTGCAAACTAACAAAATACAAGAAGCTCATAACAGAATAAAAGACTATCTCTAACACTCCTCAAGGGGGAGAATTTGTGTAGCTCGCTGCAACTGTAGTGGATCCATGCTTGTTTGTGTCAGGATGTCAGTTTAATCTACCAAATATGAAAGTGTTGAATAGATGGAGCGTGAAGTGAATGATCTGATGGAGATCCTGATGCACAATACTTGAATTTCCAACTCCCTTTGCCAAAATTGAATGATTACAACGAATTCCAGCAATTCGAGAGGTTGGTTCTCTCAAAGGCACTTGCCAATTTCATGGATATTAAATCCCCCTTTCTTTCTCTCTCTCCTTGGGTATTTATCACGTTGTCTCCATCTTCCTAACTGAATATACTTAAGTCTACTTTCACTACCTGTTGAACTTTCCCACAAAGTTAGGAATTTGTTTCCTAATTTATAAGAAACTAGGAAACTAAATTCCCTCGATGTTAAATATTTTGCAGATGTTTTAATGAAGTTAGTTTCCTAATCAAATTTTATAGGAGTAGGTATACGCAAATATATATGTGTATATATGTATATATATATATATATATCATGGATATGTATTACCTTCAATCTGCCTGTAGGCATGCAGAGGAACATAATAAAACAAAATAAAAGAATTCATATATTGAACTATACGGATAGTAAAACTAAATCTTTCTGAGTGAGGCTGAATAAGGAATAAACAAGTATTTTAGTGTTCCAAACTATGAAATCACACCTGTCCAACAATTGAATCACCTTCAATTGGTACATCCTCGTCATTAGTAATCCTTGATATGAGTTTCACAGCCCATTCAGTGTCAAAGTTGAACTTTTGAAACATKTCATCCTGCAAACTRTAACATTGATAGGTCGAGAATTACCCACCATCATATTTGATGGAACTGAATAAGAGAAKAAAACGAAAAASATGGCAAACAMGTATAAATATAGCATAGCAGCAGCAACATGGAGATGATCATTKAGCTGTAGTAATAGCATGATCCACCAAATTGAGAACAACGTTGTGCAACCGGAATCTTGTACAATGAACAATGGAGAGCATATTTGCTCTGGAWAATCATGTAATTTCCGAARGATTAACATTAAATATATTAAATSGCCTTATATATAAATATAAAAGGAAGTGTTCAAACGAGAACACCTGTGATTTACGCAAATGRACTTGTAAGCCCACCATTMTGTTCTAAGTCACGGTTTTAGAAAGATTTAGGGAGCAGTAAAATATTAAATAAATATGTACTACCTCTTTKTARRAATATTGATGGCATGCAAGGGTAAAATGGGAAAAAACTGCAAATCACATATTGGACAGAGCCGATGATTGTGGATATGATCATCACTGGTTTTCGTTTTTTTCAAAGCATTATTACATCATTATTGCAACGAAATCACATCATTTTCAGAGCAAAATGATATCATATAAAGTCTTCGATCTATTAAAGCATGATCACATTATTATCACATCATTATTGACAATGAAGGCATCGGCATAAGAAGTATTCAATGAAAATATGTTACATTTAAGGGATAAAGACAAATCTAAGATAGCTGAAAATTGTTGATAACTACTAATTTGTTTTCATCCATTCTAATTTTTATTATGGGTTAATTAATTTGGAG